ATTTCTCGATAATAGGTAATGCAAAATTGAATGCCCCACTTTTCTTAGGACATCGCCCTGGGGAAAAAATGCATTTTCGAATGTAAAAAGGATTTGTTTTTGCTGATTATTTTTTCGATTACTATACATTACATTTTCCCACTGGGTTCCTAAATAACTTTAAAATAGTTACGTTTACAGCCCTAAGTAATAGCCTAAGAATAAAATCTAATTTCGCCTCCATCAAACATAATTCAATAAATAATTCTAACAATTTTCTAACATACATACATGCATCACTCATTCGCAATACTTTCGCTCTTGATTAAACTTTCAATTTCCGTTTGACGCGACGTTTCAAATTGCTCATCAAATTCTGTTTAATTGAAGCGCTATTAAATGACAGCAATGAATTTTATTTTCAGCATCAAAACGTGCTCCCAATGTGTTAACGATTGTGGGCGAAACTCAAACGCCTGTAGGTTTACATTTATTGATTACACGTAATGCATTCGTACATACATATGTACCTACATAGCATTGCCATCGAAAATTCTGCACAAAAAAAAATCTCAATCAACCGTTCAAATCTCAGTCACTTGAAATCAGAAGTGACGAAAGGACCCACGAACAACAAACATGAAAAGCGACAGCCAAGTGAAGCGTTGTAAAGCTGGAGGCTGGCACTTACAGCGGCTAAAATTCAATTGACGCCAATCGGTAAATGTTTGCAAATGCCATTACTGCACAAAGAAGCTGAGCATTTGAATTGTTGCACTTCCATTCAGTTCCATTCACCCCCATCTCTCATTGCTTGGTTTGTTTGCCTTCTTGATTTTTTTTTGGGTTTTATTTGCTTTGACTTTTCATAGCTCCTGTATGTATGCACGAGTGTGTACATATGTATGTATGTGCAACACAGTCAATAGGCAAATGACAAATGCCATAGCAGTTTCAGTAGCAAAGCATCGCAAACAAAGATTTTACATATTTAACTTTGAGTCCTTACAACTCGTTGTTAAGCTTATCTAGAACAGTGCTCTCAAAGATGGAAGCGTTGACGCTTTGAGGGATTGTTTGCATTTGATCAGATTTTTTGTTTTTTTAATTTTTCGATTGCTATCGGGTTTGTTTTTGGATATTTTCTTTAAGGTTTATCGATTTTTTCGGAAGTTCTAGGAATATTTCGTACTTTATGCTTGGGATTTTTCGGAATTTTTAGGGTATATTTTAGTGAATTTCTGGTCTTTTCGAGATTCTTGGGTTTTCCTGTTTTTCTTTTTATTGATTTTTTGAATTTCGGTGTCTTTCGGAATTTAATTTATTTCTGCTCAAGAAAATACCAGGCATACCAGGTAAACTTCGGTAAGCTTCCGACTCGATTTATTCAATTTCCAGAATAGGATCGGGTTGGATCATATAAAAAAAAAATATTTAAAAAATTTAAAGAAAAAATTCTTTTTAAGACAATAAAATCTATAATAAAAGAGAATTTAATTTAAAAAATTCTTTTTAAAGCAACAAAATCAGAAAATTAGTAGACAAAAAACAAATTAAAAACGCAAAAATATAAAAAAATATATCAAAAATCTAAAGAAGAAAATTCTAACTAATTTACTAAAATCTAAAATAAAAGAAAATTAAATAAAAACCATTCTTTTTAAAACAATAAAATCGGATACTTAAAAAAGTGAAAGTGAAAGTGAAAATAAATTAAGAAAACAATGAAAGGAAAAAAGAAAATAAGTTCTTAAAAATTATATAAACGAAGTTATTTTTTTTTAATACAAATTCTAAAAATAAAACGAAAATTTAATAACAAATAAATTAAAGAAAAATTATAAAGTAAGTTCCTAAAAATACCATAAGATTAAAAAAAATATATTTAGATTTTTAAAACAATATATAAAAATAGATTTCTATTTAAATTTAAACTAAAAATAAAACAAAGTCAATAAAAGAAAAAAAGACTCCTAAAAATTAAATGAAGTTAAAAACAGGTTTTTTTCTGTTTAAAACAATAAAATATAAACATAAAACTGAAAAAATAAGTTTCCAAAGATCAAGTGAAATAAAAAATATATTTTTCTATTTAGGACAGTGAGATTAAAAAATAATACTTTAAGAAGAAAAAAATAAAATTGAAAAACGAATAAAAACTCTGCCCCCGAGCACTCGAACCTGTATCCCTCAAAGGACACACGAGATAGGTCGCCGAGAAAGGTCGATCTTCCGCTTAGCCGTCGATATGTTCAGATTGGGGAAGGTATCAACAAACTTACCCTAATTTAAATTACAAAATTATCAAACTAGGAAACCATCCGGCATCCTCTACTCCCCAGTTCCTATTTCAGGTCGTTAAAACCACAGTCGAAAGATGGAATGAGAGATAACGTACAGTGTGCTGCATCCCTGTTTACCCAACTGTGGCTACTGGCTCTGCTCTACTCTTGCGGAAGGTCATTGTAAAAAGCCCCCCCCCCCCCCCCCCAAATGTCACAGTGGGTTCTGTGAAGTTTTTATGTTTGAAGGCTTCTCCTATCGAATTCACAATCGTGTGCAGGGCAGTTGCGCCCAACCTACCCTAAGCACATACATATGTCAATATTCTGATAAGAAATTATAATATGCTGATCAATCAGCCTCACTAGTGTTTTAAGCAGATAAGAAGAGAGACTGATTGGTCTTACTCTTATCGAAAATGAGCTCTCAAGAGCACCTGTACAAGCTCATTCAACGAGCACTGGGATAAAATCGAGTTCTCTTCAAGTGGCTTTTGAAAAGCTAAGTACATATTCCCGCCTCTGTTTCTGAATTCCATTAGGCGTTTTTTCGGAAACGACCAGGATTTTTCACGTGTTTGATATATCGTTATCTGCTAAATATTCAATATTTTTCATAATGCATTACATACATCTTTACCTGATACAATGAAATTTCCCTCTTAACAAAAATAATAAGTAAAAAAATGTTAAAAAATCTAATTAAGTTTTTCCTTGAGCACAATTTGTGCGATAATACATAAATAAGTAATGTCTTCATAAATTCCCTCCTCCTGCTTGATTCTGCCAGCAAATCGAAGAAAAGACAACACATTTTATATTTGTACATTCCTACATACATACGCATACGTGTACCTACATAGATTCTATGCGCTATTTCCTAAAAACTCACCCATCGCTGCTGCCGCCGCTCTCACTTTGACTGTGTTTGTCGAGCAGCTGTTGTAGACCGCCTGACGCCGCAGCAATAGTCGATTGAACACCTCCACCGCTGACACCCTCCAATGTCTTCTGTTCACCACCGCCTATGCCACCACCACCACCACTGAGCAGTGAGTTCAAGTTTGTTGCTAGCGCTTCGCCGTTACGTACACTTGCCTGATAGTCTTCTAAGAGCGCTTCATCATCCCAACCATCGCCATCATACGCGTCATCATCATCATCGTATTCGTCTGTGCTGCTTTCTTCGTCCTCATCGTCCTCTACTTCCGGCTCGACAGTTGCGCCTTTATTATCTACACCATTTTTCGCATCCAAATCACGTAGAAACGAAAAGCCCGGATAGTAGGTGAATGCGGGCTGCAGTGTTTCCGCTTGCCTGCCTGTCTCTTCGCCATTAGCAGCTGCTGTGTCGTTGGCGTTAGTTGCCGCAACATCACGTGCTGCTGCGGGTGGCGAGGTGAGATTGGCGGAAATTTTTTTGAGCGCGTCCGTTTGTAGTGGCAGCTGTAGTTCACCAAGACGATCCAAATCCTTTGGTATATAAGATGACACGTGAACCGAAAAAGAATAGAAAATACGCATTCAAAATGGGCTGTGAATAAAATGTGTGCGATAAAAAATAGGATCAAAATTTATTACGTTATTTTCTGTGTGGCCGATTGGATAACCAGGCAGAGGCTGTTTTGGTTAATATCCTTGCATTTGTGTGTGAAGTAATTTTGCTTTATCTAGTCTCCTTCAAATAAAATATTTTGCACAAATTTTCACATAAAAGAGCACTTGCACTTTATTGCTTTTTCCAAGCTTTTGTGTGCCTTAAGATGGCGTAAATATTTCTACTTATGGTATGAACAGAAATTTTTAGTAAAGGCGTTATTAATAGTTTCAGGTAATATCTCTGGAAAAGCTGTTGCAGAACTTAAGGCATATAGTCATAAGTACCTTAATAGCGAATCTTGAAGAAATTAGGATAATCAACTTCTGTACGTAAAATAGTCTGAAAAAATGTCGCTTGTGTCTTGTTGGCGATTAGCGCTGATATCTCAACAGTTTCCCAAATTAAACTAAGTATTTAAGAAGTCCGCAGGCAAAGTTATTAAACTATTACAAGTTTTTAACATTTTGCTTACATGAGACCCCTATTCGGAAAAATGTTAAAAGGCCTATAATTAAGGCCATAAAAGTGGAACAAATAGGGCTGGTTTCTCCAACTCAACTTAACTTAGTTAAGCCAATTTTCTTGACTAAGTCAAGAATAAGCTGTGTAAAACGTAGGCTAACTTTTGACTTAAGTCCAAAAAGTGGCTAAACTAAGTTAAGTTGAGTTGGAGAAACCAGCCCATAGTGTCTTGTTGGGGATGATGCCTTTGCCGGGCTGGTTAATGTCTGCAGGAAGACTAAAATTGACATCACCACCATAACAGAAATGCAATGAAAGAGTAATGTTGTCAAATCAAATTTAGACCAAATTTAGATGATTTATTTAACATTTCGCTCATCTTTAGCCCACGCCGCACAGTGGTATGTCGGTGTACAAAATAAAATTTTTTGAATACTAAATTTTTATATTTAAATGGTATATACTACAAAGTGATATTTGCCTAAGAAAAAATCAAAACATTTTGTTTACTTAAGCAATGTGTTCTTCTTAAAACTTTTGTTTTTATTGTTTTTGTTGTAGGTTCGTATGAAAAAATAGCACTTACTGTTTCCTTCGGCTTCCTTCGCTTTCCTACTATAAAAAAATGAAAGACCGGAATGTTGTCTATCTATATTTATGATATTTTTAAGGGGTTTTAGGTGTTAAGTTTGCATGTCAGGTATTTGTTAAAATAAACCGATTACTCCCAGTTTTTGGATGTTTAGTTATAATATTATTACTAACATGTGGACAAAATTTCGGAATGATATGTTCATCAGTCCGCTTTTTACGGCCTTCTTAAAGCACTTTTGAGGGTAGGTTCGTATGGGAGGTATGCTTTTTTCGTTTTTTTTTCTTGATTTAAGTGCATAAATATTACATACGGAAAATTTAGGTTTACGCCGATTTCTTCTAATTTTTTCCAAAAAATTTATGGGGGTGTACCACTGTGCACCGCAGAGTGTGCTTTTTGAACACTCCATGCGAATTTATCGTAGCGCTTTCGACATAAGCTACTCTTCGATATGAAATAAAATGGTTTTGCAAGCGAATGCAGTTTTCACCAATGTATTGCTTATAATATAGAATAAAGAAAAATTAGATAGTTGCCATATATTTGAAAATTGAAGTTTAAGTACATTGATAAGATAGAGTAAATATTGCAATATGAGTATCTAACTTAAGAGGTTTGGGAAGGTTTACTGCCGAAAATATTTTTATGAGGGATTGCCACCTGATTAAAAAATTGTATTCAGTAAAATTGATAAGGTAAATATTGAATTAGTTCACTTTGAAGAAAGTGCGCAATATGCGCACAAATAAATTTTATTCGTGAGTTAATTCGTCCAACAAATAATAAATATTTATCATTTAATTTTTTGATTTGGGTTTTGACTCACACAACCCTACACGTGTTTAAATTTTAGAGGGAATACTACTCCATCCAGTTGAACGCTAACAGCAGTGAAACAAATGGCAAATATGAACCCGACTCTTATTTCAGGATGACGGAGTAGATGTGTAAAGTCTTGTCCAGCGCACTATGTAAAAATAAATTAAGAAATGTAGTTTTCGTTTGTTGTTTACTTTTATGTCATTTAAAATTTTTCCTTTGCATTTTTTTCGTTTTGGCGGAACCCTATAATTGCTTTTAGCTAATTTTTATTACCATTACCAGGAAATTTTCTAATATCTCTGAACTTTGCACTAAATACTAAATACACTAAGTTTTTAATATATTTTTTTAATAAAAATTCAAAAATAATATTTACAAAAATACAAGAATATTTTCTGCGCTATTTTGAACAGTAACTTTCAATTTGACACCACTGTGCGTTAGCTGCCTGGCTCTAGAGGAGTTAATTAAACCTTTTCTATTGGCTAATGACATTTATATTCATTAACGTAGTACAGTTACTCACTTCAAGTAATTTGGAGAACATATATGTCTTCGTCTCCACCACCGCTCCTACTTTAGACTGCTTCGCCTCACCGGCTTGTTTGGAGCTGCGTCTGGTGTTGCTCACACTCAATGCACCAGCTTTGTCATCTATCTGTCCATTTACATTTTTTTGCACATTCTGACCATGTCCATTACCATTACCATTAGCATGACCATTCCCGTTCCCATTACGATTCGTATTACCACATGCGTTGCCAGTAAGATTTACTGTACCATTTCGTGCGCAAATACCATTTATGCTCACACGCTTTGTTTCAACACCATTCTTTCCATTTCCATTCTTCTGGTGTTTATCTTGATCTCCACCATTTATTGCTTGCTTTCGCTTATCCTCTTCACTATTCGACCTCAGAGCAAGCGATTGCTTGCCCGTTGCAAATGCCTTAAACTTAATCAACTTTTTCGGTTCGACGGCTGGAAAGAGTTCACGTGGCTCATCCCAATCTAGATAGTCATTCGTTATATATTCCTGACGCACTTGAAATTTGCCCTCATTGCAACCACCAGCTGCCACTGTTGCATGCGACCAGATGTCACTCTCGTCTGGCCTGTTGACACTTTTGTGTCGTGCCAACAAAACAAATCGTTGACCAACAACGCCTTCACGTTGTCGTTTCTTTTTCTGTTTGCGTTGTTGACGGGCCATCACTTTGCTACTCAGCATTGGTGTTGATTTCTCCCAGCGCAGACAGAAGCCAGGCGGTAAACGTGGCACGACAAAATCTTGCAGCAAACCATAGATGTCAATGCCACGCGGTATGTTGAATAGATCGAAGTCTGTGACCTCACGCACAACACCCACCGCTTCCGCCGCGGTGACCAGCAAATCAGATGCTATTGTTGACTTTTGTGAGCTGCGTTTACGTAGCTTAGCGGGGAAACGTGGTGAGCCCTTAAGTGGACTGGTATTGGTAGTGGTTGAGAGTGGCGTAGCTTCGGTGGAGGTGGCAGGCGCGTTGGCGGCATTGCCAAGTGGTGGTTTCGCATCATCCGTCAAATTTGATTCTAGCGTTTCGAAGTGGGTCTCCCAGCGGCAAACAATGGGTGGTTCAAACCAAATCACCGAGTCGGGCAGCCTTTTTATGTCAAAGTGTGTGTGTGTGTGTGTGGTGAACGAGGAACGAAGGAAAGCGAGTAAGATAAAGAAAGTGTAGATATATAAAAATTGATGTGTGCTTTTGACTTTGTGCTACTTTGATTGAATAGACAAACACTTACTCCAAACTGACCAATGCCAATTTGTCAAGTGCCGCTTCAACCATGCGCATCTCCGCTTCAATTTCCTCAGGCAAACGACGTACACCGGGTTGGGGTGGTGGCGGTGGTTTGTAGCTTTGGTAGAATAACTTTTGGTTCAAGCGATCCGGTGATATAACTGCAAATGCATGGAAACAGATTTTAATTAGCACTCATAGTTATGTAGGTTAATTTTAGGTTATAAAATGCTCACTAAGCTCACTCACTGGTTCGTATAAAAGAACGTTCATTTAATCGTTTATCCTGCTGCGGCGTCTCCAAGTAATCAATGCGATACATCCCGCCGATAATGCGATATTTGCGCAAATTTACGTCAGTACCAGTCAAGTTATAGCCCTCAGGTCCGATTGCACGCCGACGTGCCTTGTTAAGCTCATCTTCATATTCGGCATAGATCTTATCTACATCAAAGCTGCGTTCGCGTTTAGCGCCGGTGGAGCTATCGTGATCAGCGACACCAGCAGCGGACAGTGGGCTGTCCTTATTACAGTCCTCTAGCATATTCTGTAAAATGTCTTTGCGTTTACGCCACTCTTTTTTTGTATAGCGCAGTATATCTGAAAATGAAGAGAAGTGGTGTCTTTGAAGTTACAAAGCTGGGAGAATAATCTTTTGGCTCAACTTATGTATTCCGGCAAATCTCGTTTTGCATTAAAGCTATCGCAGTAATCACTATAATGATCGTAGTCTAACCAGAGCCCGCGCATAGCTGAGCTTTGTAGTTCCACGGAGAGTGGTAGCGCGATTTGAAGCTTCAACGCTGGGAATTCGATGTCGTTGGAAGTGGCCTGTTCACCGATACGCGCCTTGGGATTAGCAGAGCTGAAAAGCGAATAAGCAGAAAACAATATTTGAGAAAGCATTTTTATTTTTCTTTGTGCTGTGCAGCAAAAAAAGATTCCTTTTCATTTAAATAAAGGCAAGCTACTTAAATAAGTTTTCTGCGTTTATTTTATTCAAACATATGTATGTCTTATTTAAGTAAAAAAAAAAAAAAATTTTATCCGGAGGATGCATCAGCCTAGGCCGAGATTCATTTTACTACGTTGATAGCGAAGTGGGCAATGTTTCTGTGAAAAACACGGCTAGAATTCGGATTAAAGAATCTCTTTAGATGCACAGTTAAACCAACTAGCTTTTGTGTGACCTGTATCCAACTCAGTGGGATATCTTGTTTTGGATCTACTGTGTCGCGGATATGCAATATCATGAGCAAACTTCGTAGAGGTGCTTAAAATTCTCAATACTAGATATCCTGTCTTAATTTAAAAAATCTCGTCTTGTACCGCACAGGATGAGTTAAATCAAAGATAACCTTTCCTTCCGATAAATTGTACAATAATAGTTTTAGTGGGATTAACTGATAACCTTTCGCTTTCGAGTCATCTTAGTGTAGTAAGCTCGCTAGCAATATACATATTGTCGTTTAAAGTACAAAACCGCGTACCGTCATTCTGCAAAACCGCGTAACTGACATTGGCTGCCAAAAATTGAATTTGCTCACACAAGCTATTGGCTTAATCTTTATCCATTCGTCCTGAAATATACCAGCCAGAAATGCGATTGCTTTATAAAAAAATAGAACCATTTTGAAATATGAAAGTTTTTACTCTCTAGAAAATAATTTCTACAACTTCACATACGCGGTTTTGCATTTTCTTGATACGCGGTTTTGCACTTTAAACGACGATATAAATCCCATTGAATAGTGATTGACACTACAACCTTGCTTAAGATAGAATCGTTTATTGCCTTATAAGGGGTATTATCAAAAGTCGCTTAATTGTCTTTAAGGGGCAAAAGAGCTGTGCCTTTTAGACCTCAGCGACTGAGCGTTAACACCTTAAGTTGCGTTAAGCTACCGAAGAAAGGCGTGCCTAGAAACCTGATTTTCGTGGAAAAGGTTTATTTCTACCATTTGCAATGCTTCTGCTAAGTTGTAGCTACGACAGATCGCAGCTAATCCTCCCTATCAGGGTTAGTGATGGCTAAAGTCGGTTTTGAAACTCATGAAAATGTTGCCAGTGCGGAGAGATCTGGCACTTCACCCATGTTTTTAATTCACAGGTACAATAACCTCTTTTAAAAATGAACTATTCAGGTCAAACTAGCTCTTTCAACGAATTCCTTGAATACAATTCTGCTGTAACCCTCAGCCAGATTAGCGTACCGCTTAGACTCTTCGACTACCAGCCATGGCCATAGGTATTCTCTTAATTGCTTTATTAGGCGAGAGGTATTAAAAATTTTTACATCGCTGAAACACAGACTACTTACTAACAGGAACTTTGTTACGCAAAAGAAAAAAAATCACCATATAATTTTCAACTCGCATAGGTTAGGATAGGCTACATGGGCAGCCTTAATCCAATATTTCACTCGGAGACCGTGAAAGACCATATTGACGCCTAGTGGACGATTTTCGCAGATTTGACCACCTACTTGACTTCAAACCATCTTTATTTTCTGACGAATCCTAGTAAAAACTTTAATGGAGCTTTCCCAATGCAAAATTTGCGTGGTTTCCCCCTAGAATTAGCAATAGTTGATTTGGCTCCGAACTTGGCAGGTGGCAACCAGTGAGAAGCTGAATTTTCGCCTTTGAGAGCTTTCACAAACTCCATGTTCTACGTTCATCCTGCAATGCCCAGAGTACCTATTCGTCTAATTATTGCTACTAGCTTCTCTGGTCATAGCGTCAACTTTTAAAACAGAAATCGCGTGGAGGCTGTATGCCTTGAAACGCTTAATAAACTCTACCTCAGGCCCACGAGCGGAACACAGCTATCGAAGAGATTGTGAAACTTCTTCAGCATTCCTGGATGCATATTGAGTTAGTCGTTACCGAATTGAAATCAGTTTCAGTTTGATAATAGTTTTGCTACTGTTAATGGGAAATATAACAGGCTGAAGTAATCTGGAAATCTAGGGGCCACTATCAAAAATAGGTTCTGAAAGAAGATATCAAGATCCTTTTCAAATGTTTATTTTGAAGCCTTCTCATTCCTAGTCTGTAAAAAACCGCAGCTGGGCCCTTGATTATTGTTCGTAGCCTGTTAGACGTATTATAGATGAGAATGGGGTTAATTACCGTCCTGTATACCTAATGTGACCAACTATTTCATAGCTCAAAGAAGTGCAGGTTAGGTTGGGTTAGGTTAAAGTGGTTGCCCCTTACAAGAAACACACTTTGACAATTAAGAGATTGTTCTTTGTGATACCACAATAAAAAACAACTGAGCGGAGACTCTTAATTTTGTCGGCGATCCCTGAGAGCTCAGTGTTAGTTTAGAAGTGCTTGCATCTTAGCCTCGCGGAGGTTGGAGAGTCTAAAAGAAAGTGTGCAGATGATTTCACCTCATATTTTTCTTGACAGCTTGTACAAAAGGGATCAGTTGAAATTCCTGGTCTTACCGCGTGAATACCAACCGCACAATATCCGGTTAGAACTCCCATCACTAGTCCTTGAGGGGTAACATGTTTTTCGGGACTGGTAAGCCAAACATTTTATACTCAAGTGAGCACTTTTAGTAAGCTATAATTTATAGGTAATGTAAGAATTAAAAAGGAGCTGAAAAGTCACTTACATTTGTGCATCCTTTGAGTAGGTCCAAAAGTGACTCTTGAAAACGCCTGATTCATAAATGTGTTTGAAAACGCCTGGACGATCGATTCTAAAAAATGATTTTAGATTTATTATTTCTAAAAAAAAATATAAAAAAAAGTTGTACTCACTCCATATCGCGATCGATGTGTGACATCGTTTTATAGGTAAACTCATCTAAATGCTCACTCAAAAGCACACGAATCTCCATCTTGAGGCAAATGAGATCGGCAATGATATGTAGTGGCTTCTTTTTATCAACTATGGCCTCATCTAGTTCGTTAAGTATCTGAAAGCATAAACAGACGGCAGTGTTGATCCGGATCAACTCGGGAATTAACTGCAGTTGATCCAGATTAAGTCCGAGTTAATCCGAATCAACGCTACCGTCTGTTTAAGCTTTAAGATGCAGTAGGTTCATTTTATTTTTTGCTCTTCTCTCTTTTTTACACTTTCACTTTCACTCTGGCATTTTTTCGCCAATTTACACCCTCAACTTACCCCCAAAACTTCACGTATTCGCTGCGCATACACATCACCCGCATTGCCTTGCCGCAAACGCAAACTCTTACGCGATAAATCTGGCGCATCGAGATCTTGCGTGAGCAGCGTACGTTCGTTGGTGTTCAGCAGCCAATTGCGTGATGCACGCTCACGTCGCTCCATATCGCTGCGCCATTGATGAATGTAGCGTCGCAAGTCGCTCGGACTATTGGCGTTGGGCAGTCCATTGCAACGCATAAATCTCTCCCATTCACGTTCCTCCTGCTCGAGTGCCTTAATGCCGTTCGTCACTTCGCGCACCTCCATGAAGAAGGCCATGCTGTTGCGTAGTTGTGCGCGGCGTTTTTTATTCTCTTGAATTTCCTCCTTTTGCCGACGCTTCGCTTGTTCAAATTCAATTTGGCGACGCTGGCGCTCCTCCTCAAGTTTTCGTTGTCTATGTAAAAATACTAAATTTTACTGCATGAGTTCGTATTTAGTGGGTTGATTTACCTTTCCTTCTCCATTTCAATGCGTAGCAGCTCGGCCTGCTCGGCCTCTAACCGTGCCTTCTCCTTCTTAGAGAGTTTTTTTTTCGGCGGCTTAAATGGAGGGTCGTTATTTTTATTATTTAAATTAAAATTTTAAATTTATTCCCCTTTAACTTACCATCTCTTAAGTTTATCTAGCTCTTGCAATAACTTTGAGTACCAAAGCGCATATAAACTTTGGTGTCGGCGTTACTCAGTATCGATTTAACGCGCTTTTGCTGACATTCTCTTAACAACCACGTTGCCGTGCTACCATCTATTTGGAAAATACAACATTGTTTTTGCTTGCTCCCAAATTTTCGTTGTACTACAAACATTTGCACAACTTTTAACTATTTATTTTCACATTCCTCCACTTCTGGGCTGTTCTTTTGGGCCGACTTTTGGGCCGACTTTTGGGCCTTTACGATTTCCCATACCATTCATTCAAGCCATAAGGAATAAGGAACTGGCTTTGAATTGGAGTGAGCCCTAGTGCGCTTGGGTATTGGGGTAGAAAAGAAATGTATTAAAATTTGCCACACATAGAGTGCAGTACCAATTTGAATGCTGGTTACATTTACGCAATACAAAACTGTACTAACTGTCGCTATGTACGAGTACTAGTAAAATATTAGCTAAATTGGAACTTTCCTCAAACTGAAAAAAGTCCTAAAATCCAATAAAGAAATTACTCATAAAATGGTTACACTGCAATGAATCCGAACATCCACTGCTATGTGGGTTGCTGCTCTTCTCGCTGGCCTTTCAAGTAATTTTTTTAGAGCTTCCACAAGAATCCGAAAAATTGAGTTAGAGTAGTGTGCCGTTAAGTCCGTCATATCATATCGGGAATAAACCCCCCAAGTAAGCGAATTCAGAAACGTACGAAATACCAACGAGAGGCGGGCGGGCTATCAACAAAAAACGAAGTACTTTATTGCCAAAGATACTTCTCCGGGACCCCGCCAGGCTGGTGGAATTGGACGGATTCAATCAGGTCCAACAAGATGTCCGGTTGTTCGACAAAGAGGAAAGAGAAAATCACAAAAAAACGACCCTCTTCAGGTGAATCTAACAGGACTCTGTTTAATAAGGCTAAATGAGTCCTAGACACAGGAAGGGGCTACTTTTTGATTATAATGTGTAGAGGAGGCAGGTCAAGAAGCACCTCGAAATCTGCTGTCGGTATTGTTCTCATCGCGTCAGTGATGCCCACGCAGGATTTAGTTTGTTAAGCGTAGTCTGCGCAGATTTTACTTCGCCTTATTCCACCAGACGGGCGCAGCATAAGTTGGAATGGGCTTGGAGATAGCACCATACATTCACCTTGCCAGTTTAGGTTTTATGCCCCAATTTCGCGCCATAAGTTTACCGCAGATCCAGTTAAAGACCCTGCCCTTGCGAATTCCATTGCCTATGTACGAATTCCATGAGAGCTGATCATCAAGGATAAATCCCAGATACTTAACCTTTTCAGAGAAGTGTATCTTTTCTCCTTGAAGGATTTTTTCCAGTAACTTCTTCCTCTTTTATTTTCCCGGAGAAAATTACTAGTCTTCTTTGAGTTTGTGCTCAATCCGTTTTTCTCCACCATTTGGCGACTATGTTCAGCGAATTCTGTACACTGAGGGAAAAAAATATTAAAATCAAATAGAAACGTAATTGATCTTACTATAAACATCAACAAAAGTACTGTATATTGATAAATATTCAATTCAATTACGCGCATATTAAAATGACCGCGTTCGTACTGAAAAAGCATCCGTGAAGTGAATAATCAAGACAAAAACTAAAAAAAAAATTTAATTTGCATGTTGCCTGCAGTAGAATTCGAACCCGGCCATCTTCGGATATCAACAACTTGTGGCAAGCATCTTTGCGCACTCAGCTACACCCAGCCATATATATTTGCTTTCAAATGTTGAATATCCATCAACACCACAGCACGCGATTTGTACGGATAAACATGTATGTACTATGTATGTATGTGTGTGTTGTCACCGCTCTCAGAGCGGCGCTCTGCATGCTAGGGGTGCGTATGTACACTTACTTATACATACTCAGATGTGAACAGTCAAATACGTGCGTAATAAATTTTGTATGAAAATATTATTTTTAAATACGAACATTTTTAAACGATAATCAAATATAAAGTATTCATTTTTACTATGCATTATTTCCCTCAGTGTAGAAGGTTGGCGTTGTGTCTTCAAACCTGCCTCTGATTAGGTTGACAACATCGTCCGCGTAGCCCTAAGCATCGAAGCCTTATAAACTTAGAAGGCAGAGTATTTAGTCCATCTTGCGGCTTCCTTTTGTAGCTAAGAATAAGACTCCTGACCTAGGGTAGATGTAATGGTTCTTGGTTTAAAGAAGTTCGATGGAAAACTTATACAACTCAATCACGGTCAACTTATGCACTTACATGAGCACCAGACAGCTTTTATATACTATACATACTAGGAGTGCCAGTTACTGTCGAAATTCGACCGTTTTTCTAGTTTTTTAAAAGCCTCGAAGAGGTTTTCTACCTTAGCCCGTCGTTTAACTTATAAGGTACTTACCGGGAAATCTCTTGCTTCGGAACTAAAACGTAACTAACATTTTTTTATATCTTTGAAAGTCTTTGGCGGACTTTGGAAGGGCTTGGAATTGACCCGATACAATCCGTTTTGTCGATAATTTTCGATAATTTGATACATATCGATAACTGAATGAGTTTCAAAAACGCTAAAATTCCATAACTCAGAAAAATTCGATTATTCCATTAATTTAGACAACTGTAAAAAATGTATATATCTTAATATAAATCGTCAACTCGATAAACTTTTGATACCTCTATAAATTTTGATAACTCGGTTAATTTTGATAGCTCCATATTTTTCGAAAGCTTTCGACAAATTTCGATAACTCGTTACACTTTGGTAACACAATAAAATTCAACAAGTAGTAATAACTCGATAAACTAATATAACCTTGAAACTTCGATAGCTCAATATACTATTTTGAAAATTTTAAAAACTTCGATTCGATAAATCGACAAATTTCAGCTAATCAATTTTTGTATATTGATAACCCGGTAAGTAGAAAGAGCCTGATGTTTTACGATAACACGATAAATTTCGACAATTTTAAATTTTCGCGATATTTTCGATTATCGAAACGATTAACGAAAATGTTTCGATAATTTTTTTGATAATTTTAATTAATAATAGTTCAATAAAAATCGACAACTGGAGAAATTTCTTTAGTTTGAGAAATTTAGATAATCCCATGAATTTGTATGACCCCATAACTATCCGTAATTTTCGACAACTAGTTTTCTTTGTCTATAAATTTCTACAATGCAATAAATATTGATCAATTTAAATAGTTGGATTTATCTTCAATTTCACGTTCACTCTTTTGTCTTAATCGTTATCGTTTTTTTCTTCACCATCACATTTATCAAGCAACAAAGTTTAATTTCAAATACGAAGTAAAGCAAAATGCGAAAACAACTCAAATTAAACGGAAAACTGTAAACGAATATTTTGGCCATAAAAACTCTCCTTATCTGCAGAAAAATATCTTTCTAATGGGGTTCTTGGTTTGGTAAAATCGCCAAGCCAAGGCGGATTTATGTTAGCGTATAAGTATATGGATAATGAGGATGTATCTGGCATTACCTTTGCCAATGAGAGCTAGATCCCAGAAAATTGGGCAACGCTAGTGTAAATATACGCACAAGATGCTCAAGATTTGATTTTGAACATGAGATGCTTAGAATCTACACATAGATTCTACACATAGATACACACATGAAATGTTTAAAATAGAAAATTTTTGAAAGTACAAATACATTTTCTACTAATAATAAATATTAAGTGCTCAAATTTAAACATTTAATGTGTAGTTGTGCTCTACGCGACAAATTTGGTATGTAAAAGTAAATACACAGTGTTTAATTTTGCACACTTATGGAGGAAACTGGTTAACTCTCTTTATGTGCGTAAATTTAAACAAAAATTTTTTAGAACAAATTTGAAAAATTTAAAGTATAAACTGTAAAATTGTGAACACTGACTGTTTAGAATCAACAAACAAATTTGAAATTTGTTCTACGCCAAACATATAATAAGTAAAAGTAAATAAACAAGCAGTGTTTAATTTAAATAACACGGTGTTTAAATTTGAATTAAGAGTGGAAACTGGTTACCTATCTTAATATATGCAAATTTAAACAAAAAATTTGAAGAGTGTACTCTGTTTAGGTTGAGACCAACAATTTGGCTTGTCGCCTTTAATTACTTAGTTTGTATAATTAGTACGCGAAGCCGCAAACGCTTTTCGCATAACTTTACAGCGGAAATGTGCGTATGCGAAGAAATAACGCACCACATTTTACTACTTCTCAGTTCAGTCCCTTGTTGACGCTGTTGTTTTTGAGTTTTTAAGTCGCTTGGTGGCTACTTGGCCTTGTAACATTTTGGCAATGCGGTCAGCTTTACTTTAAGAATCCTGCCAATTGTTGCGCGCCCGAAGATATTCGCCTTTATTGCCAGAAACTTTTATGATTTTACTTTTAAGTGGAGGCAAAAGTGTACACGCACATTTTGAAACCACCGCCCCCATATAAATTTTAATGTAATAACATCGTTTAATTACCACAATGTCAAATCACAATTTTTGAAGTCCTCCGCGGCTGTGGCTTCACGCCCTTCAATGGCGGTTTGCTTATCCTGCTGCTTATGCAGCAAAAATAACAACTAAATAGTTAAGCTGATGAGTTGGAGCCAAAATCAGGCGCGACAGCTGATGCCGCTTATTAAGCGCCCAAAGGCAACCGCAGACTCTGCGTGGGCTCAGTGAAGGAGGAGAGCGTCATGATCACACTTCTTGCAGTCAAAGTGTTTTGACATCGTAGTTGCCTCTATGCCTCCAAGCAAAAAGTGTTCAAGTATTGCAAAAATCCTTTTTAATTGCTATAGCATCTTAAATTAAGTGAAGGTTTAATTTTCAGCTTGGCTATTTTCGTTATCCCTTTCAATGACTGGCCTATTTAAGGATGCTTAAAAGAATGGCTGCGA